TCGGATATTTCGTAGTGCTTGTTAAAAGTCTGCGAGCTTAATTTTCATCATGAAACCAAGGGACTTAAATTACATTATAAAATTATAGTATATTCATTCTCTATTCAAGGGGCTAAATCTTTGACAAAGGAATGATACTTCTCAACATTCAACAATAGAAAGAGATAAAGCAGAAGAAGAAGAAATACCTTTAATGACAACAAATATTTTTTGCAACTTTCTAAAATTATTAACTGTTTTCTAGAAGCAAATTGCCAAAGGATAATAAAGTGGAATTACTTTTTCAACTATTTTTTATCGAAAATCATAAGATGAAAATTCTCAAATTCGAACGGTTTCGAACCCTGCGGTCGCATTTGTTGTGCTAAGTGCCTTAAAATACTTTTATTAACAAGACTATTTTCTTCTTATTTCAAAAATATTGATATTATTTGTTTAAGGAATAATTTAATTACCCAAAACTGTGGGATAAAAATTTCTCAACTTTAGAGGGATTCGAACCTCGTTCGAATTACCCGAGCTTCTCAGTATCTTAGCGACTGTCACAAACGAGATGATTTTTTCCCCAAAAACATTCATTGATTCAAATTTTATTTCTTTCTAAATATTGCAATTACCGAAAACCTTGAAAAAAATTTTAACTTTGAAGGGATTTGAATCCTAATCGTGCGCATTATTAGTGTTTCTAAGTGCCTTAACGACCGTCACTAACGAGACAATCTGTTTCATCTGCTAATTACAAGTAATGGATAATGTATTTCGTAACGTTTTTTTTTTCTAAAACGCGGCAAATTATATTTTATCATCCGTTTTCCACAACCAACAAGCTTTAAAAGACAATATAATAATCCAGAATAACTTTTCAACTATTTTGTACCACAACTATTATTCTACATAACCAACATCCGTAAAACAAAATAATCCAGAATAAACCTCTTTTATGCAAAGAAACAAACCAACTGTGTAAATTTCTCTCTTTCTTTTTTTTATGCGAATCATCACACATGTTGTGCAGTGCATATTCTAAAAAGAGAGAGAGAGAGAGCGAAAGAGGAACTTTTTGATCTTCTCGAGAAGAATTCTGAACGGTGCATTGCCTAGAGCAAATCATATCCTTCGGGGACACAAGATAACCGATATTGACACCTATCTCTCTCTCTCTCACTCTACGAATCAAGAAAATATACATTTCTCAAAGAAATCAATATCTCAAAAAAGAAGAAGAAAAAATTTAAACTCTGGTTACACTCTGTTGCTTTCAAGACTCGAGAATCGTAATATGCGCGCGTGATAATTCGTATCAAGGCCCTCGAGGTATTCATATACAGATATATTCATTGCGTGGCGTACGTCGGAAGGGTTATGATACGCGTGTCAAATTTGGATGGAGCGCGGAGTCCCGAGACCGCCCACGCGGTGAAAGAGAGAGAGAGAGAGGGCGCTCTCTTTCTCTCTTTTTGAGATAGAGCTCTTTTTCTCTCTTCTTGAGATAGGGAGAGAGAAAGAGAGCCGAGGAGAGTGAAAAGAAGGCCCGGCATGATCGGACCTGGCCCATTCCTCGCTTAATTATCGTACCAATGTTACATTCGTCTTGCGCTGCCTTCACTCTCTCTTTCTCTTTCTCCTTTTACTGTTTTTCTCTCTCTGTTCCTCCTTTTACTGTTTCTTTCTCTCTTTCTCCTTTTACTGCTTCTCTCTCTCTCTCTCTCTCTCTCTCTCTCTCTCTCCTTTTGCTGTTTCTCTCTCTCTTTTTACCCTTTTTCTTCCTCTCTCTCCTTTTTCTCCCCCCTCCATTCGAATCGTTTTATTTCTTCACGTCTTAACCCCTTTTTACGTGGATATATTCCAGCCCGCGCCTAAAATACGACAGGCCCCGGAGTTAATACTGCATTTAATCGAGGATGTGTGGGCACAATATCGCGGCACTCCATAACAGAACACACAGCATCACACGAGCCTCAAAGCTAATTATAAAATATTGCTTGCTGATGCTCAACGACCATTGGCAGAGAGAGAGAGGACCTACCACTGGTACTCGCAAAGGTATATTCTGTCAAGCGACCTCTGTGCCCTTCAGCTCACCAAATACGAAAAAAAAAATAAAGGAAAGGTGCGTTTAATATAATATTAGAGTAGGAGTAGAGGGGGGAAGATAAGAAGTAGTAAAAGAGGGTACAAAAAAAGAAGAAATTTAGAGATAAATAAATTCTTATTTATAAGGAATAAATAAGAAGAAGAAGAAGAAGAAGCACTTTCATGATATATATTCAAAAGAAAGTTTGGGATGAGAGAGAAATGAGAAGAGTGTATATATAACAAAATGTCGCAGACCTTTAATGTTGTTCCTCGACATGTAGAGCAATAAACATTACTGTAAGGGAAGCGTGTGAGAAAATTCTCTTGGGTTCAACTCACGTGCATGCTTTGATGTATTCTTAGCGCACTTTACCTTGGCTGGTCCTCTCTTTCCATGCCAGTGCCGATATTGCCTTTCGAGCTTTTCATTATATTGAACGATGAAGGCTTACACTGAAAAAGAGGGAGAGAGAGAGCGAAAAAGATCGAGAGAGAGAGAGAACGAGATAGAAAGGGTGAAAAAAGCAAGAGAGAGAGAGAGAGAGGGTAAAAAGTAAGAAAGAGAGAGAAAGCAGAAAAAAGCGAGAGAGAGAAAAGGACTACACACGATATATAGGGAATTCCGCGCTGCTCCCAAAAGACCGATCGCGATTGAGAATGTCACCTCGGAATTCAGTTTGCGTGAGGCAACCTCCATACTGAATATTTCTTGGAACGAATTTGATTTAACTCGGTATACTAAATTTTTAGATTAACTGCAGCAGTACTGGGTCCCAAACTGACCCCCCCCCCTCCCTTCCCCCTTTCTCTCTTTCTGATTTATTCCCCCTTTATATCGCTTAATATTTTGTCAGTATATTTATCGATTTATATATATATATATATATATATATATATATATATATATATATACGCACTCGTGTGTGACTGTAAATTTTCAACCAAGTAATAAATGCTGTAATTCGACGATAAATGTCAAATAAATTCCTAATTGTCAAAATTATATTCTCAGTGTTAATATTGCGCACACGCGATATATAAAATTCAATTCGATCAAGAGATGGGAATATACACTATACTATTAATACGCTACTTATACAAAAAAAACATTTATTTGAATCAAATAAAAATAAAATTTTAAAAATAAAATAAAATTTATTTTGATTCAAATAAATTTTTTTCTCTGTAGTAAATAAATTAATTAATTTTGAAAACATTTATTTAAATCAAAATAAATTTTATTTAAGTTAATTAAAATTTATTCGAACCAAATAGAATCTATTTGAACCAAATAAAGTACGTCGGTGAAGTTTGAAACGTTTATGATTAACGATTGAAAGAAAAAAAATTATTTTCCTACCAAAAAAGAATAAAATTATTTGTTCACAAATATTTCGTTTATATAATATCATTATTCAAAAAACTAACCAAAAAATTTTCTATAAGTACAAAGACTAATAAAAATTTGCTTAAAAATATTTTACAAAGAATTTTATTAAAATAACTCAAAATAACTGAATTTTTGGAAATAATTTTATAAAAATTTTTAAATATTTGATTTTTTTCGACTTATTTTATGCAAATCCTAATTTAAATAATTGAATTCCTAAGAAATTTTTATTATTCCTGAAAAGAATTAAATTCTTTTGAAAATTTTTATTACAAATTTTGTAAATACATAATTGGATTCTGTTTGGAAATGTTATGAAAATAGTAGATATATTGAAAATCATTCAATTGAGAAAAGTTTTTTAAAATAATTAAATTTTACAAAGAATTCTATTAAAATTTTTGAGAATAATTGAATGTCTGTGTAACATTTTATTAAATGTCTTTTCAAAAATAATTGAATTCCTAAAAAGCATTTTATTATTTAAAAAAATAATTGAATTTTTGCGAACGATTTTATTATAATTTTTTTGAATAATTGAATTTTCAAGAATAAATTTATTACTTTTAAGAATAATTGAATTCTTGTGCTGAATATAATTTATGAAGATAATTGAATTTTGCAAAGAATTTTTTTTTAAATGCCACAAACAAATTGAATTTTCGGGTATAATTTTGTTATTCATCGACATGATTGTATTCTTGGGAAGAATTTTATTAAAATCGAAAAGAATAATTGAATTATTTCAACATAATTTAATTAAAATTGTATTTAAAATAATTGAAATCCTACAATGAATTTTATAATTTATGTAAATAATATTATTTATGAAAATAATTGAATGGTTGCAAATAAGTTTATCAAAATTTTCAAAAATAATTAAATTTCTGAGAAGAATTTTATTATATTTAAGAAAATAATTGAATTATTGGGAAAAATTTTATTAAAATATTTGAAAATAATTGAATTCTCGTGAAAAAATTTGTTATTTTTGAAAATAATTGAATTCGTCATAAGAATTTTATAAACATTGTTTTAAATAATTAATTTTTTCGAAATATAATAAATAATATGAAAATTTGATTTTAAATAATTGAATTCTTGTGGAAAATTTTTATTTGTGAAAATAATTAAATTTTTATTGAATTTTTATTACAATTTTTATTGAATTCGTTGATTTGAAAGCATCTAGCAATTAATTCCATTATAAACCATTAGCAAATCATCATTTGTAAATTCAGAAATTGTCTCTGTATGTGTACACGGTGACATGCAAATTCACGTGGTTCACCGCGAAACCGCAAATAGTGAGAAATTTATTAAAGTGGCACTGAGGGTAATATTTTCTTCTAAATATATTGTACATAAGATTTTTTAAAAATAAAAAAAGTACCGCAAAATATTTTACGAGTTTTTAAACGAAAAGTGAGAATAAAATGTATATACCATTTAATATTATAGATGACTTATTATGTAGAACAATGAGAATTACAGAAAATTCGACACAGTTTCTACCATAATTTTTTCTTCTTTTAGAATACGATATGATATACCAGTAATTTAAAATAGACTAAAATAGTGAGAAAAAAAACTTACCAATTAATGATTGACTGCAATGGAGATTTTCAGTTTGTACGATTTTTTTTATAACGCGCACTTCACTCCCGAATTCGCGGACTAAAAAAAAAATTATATATACACTTTACCTACTAAGCGATTGCGATTTTAAAAGAAGATTCGATTTACTCCCTATGATTACTGCTTTACGTATTTATCACGACATCCACCACATTCCTGAAACAAAAATAATTTTATTTTAATTTGTGTTCATATATAATAAGATTTTTAATATACGTTCATATTATAAGTAAATTGATAAATAAATAAATTGATAAAAAAATAAACAAATAAAGAAATAAGTAAGTAAATAAACAAATAAAGAAAGAAAACATAAAGAAACAAATTAAGAAATGATTAAATGAATGAAGAAATGAATAAAGAAATGAATAAAGAAATAAAGAGGCAAATAAACAAACAAATTAACAAATAAATTAAGCAAATGAATAAACAAATAAACAATTATTACTATAATTAAAAATTCTTTCGAAAAGAATTACGGGATACAATTTAACTGCAGTACTTAAATAATTCCTTATTATCCCCATCAATATTATTGAAGTAAATAAAGATATAATTAAAATCTCATGTGTAAAATTAAAAGCAAGATTCAGATATACATATATATGTATATTGAAATACGAAACATGTCTTCGCACGGCTGCCTTATCCAGCATATATAACTTCCTCTGTAACGATCGAGATTAAAATCTGACAAACGGGAGGAGTCAATGACGTGTCGTTATACATAACTACCGTCCGTTGATTGTCAATCTAAATATTCTTTCGAAAGTTACTCGAGCGTCAACTCAAACCAGAAGTATTTTTTCCTTCTCTTATAAATATACTTATGCGAATATAGTTGAGAGAAATTTTTTAAAAAATGCGTTAATAACCTTGACGTTACACTTTGAGATGGTATTTCAAAATAACATTTTTGTTTTGTAATTTTAATTGTTAACACTATTTCAGGATATTTTTTTCTATATTTATGCGGGTACTTTTCCCTTTTCTATAGGGTACTTCGGTCTATTTTAGTGAATTTTACTCTACTTTAGAGAATTTTACACAAGTTCAGCGCAGAGTATTCTTAAAAGTATCAAATTTATACTAAAGTGGATGAAATTGCTGCTTGCTTTTGTTTATTGACAATTGTTAATAAAAAAATTAGTTATTGGTCCTAAGCATATCACAAAAATATAAGATATTGTAAAGAACCTCAAGATATTACAAAAATAATTATGAAAGAAAATTCTTTGATACAATTTTTTGATAGAACTTGAAAATATTACAAAATTATTTCCGAAAATTCAATTCTTTTTTTAACATTTTAATAAAATTTTTCACAATAATTCAATTATCACCATAAATAATAAAATTCTTCTCAGAAATTCAATTATTTTTGAAAATTTTGATGAAATTCTTTACAACTATTCTATTATTTTCATAAATATTAAAATTCATTGAAAAATTCATTAAAAAATTATAATAAAATCTTACGCAAGAATTCAATTAATTCAAAAAAATTTAATAAAATGCCACACAGACATTCAATTATTCTCAAAAATTTTAATAGAATTCCCGAAAATTCAATTATTTTGAGTTATTTTATTAATATTCTTTGCAATATACAATTATCTTCATAAATAACAATATTCATCACAAAAATTCAATTATTTTTAAAAATAATAAATTTCTTTTTGGAAATTCAATTATTTAAAAAAAAATCTAATAAACTCGTTCGCAAGAAGTCAATTATTTTCTTAAATAATAAAATGCTTTTTAGAAATTCAATTATTTTCAATAAAATTTAATAAATTCCACACAGACATTTAAATATTCTTAAAAATTTTAATAGAATTTTTTGTAAAATTTATTTATTTTTAACCCTTTAACTGTTTGAGGAAAATACAACATGATTGTCCCAAAATGCCCAGCGGAATCTGATAATTTTTCAAATAGTATAATATATTTAAATTATAACTAATTATTTAATTATTTTCTAAAATATCATTAATGACCCTTATAATTTCTTATAATATTGATATAAAGAAAAATATCTATCAATTTATATACAAATTATATTTATTTTGAGTGATAGTGAACACGACCCACGGGTGGGTCGGAAACAGTTATGGCCATACTTTTTCACGACCCACCCGTGGGTCGGAAACAGGGAACGGGTTAAAAACTTTTCACAATTCAATATCTACCATTTTAATAAAATTTCCAAACAGAATTCAATTATTTAAAAAATGTGTTGTAAAAATTTTCGTAAGTATTCAATTCTTTTCATGAATAATAAAACTTTTTCAGAAATTCAATTATTTAAATTAGAATTTGCATAAAATAAGTCGAAAGAAATCAATTATTTAAAATTTTTTATAAAATTTTTTTCAGAAATTCAATTATTTTTGGAAATTTTGAAAAAAATTCTTTGCAACTATTCAATTATTTTCATAAATAATAAAATTCATTGTAGAATTTCAATTATTTTAAATACAATTTGAATTAAATTATTTTGAAATAATTCAATATTATTCCTTTAGATTTTAATAAAATTCTTCGAAAGAATTTAATTATGTCGATGAATAATAAAATTCTTTGCAAAATTTAATGATTTTCATTAATAACAATATTCATCACAAGAATTTAATTATTTGTAAAATAAGTAATAGATTTTTTAATTTAATTTTTTCATAGCAACTTTTTACTACTTCTTTTTAGTTTGAAAGCTACTTTTTTAAAATTAATTATCGAGTGCGAAGTCTGTTAAAGATCTTTAAAAAAAATCAAATATATATCAAAATTACTCCAAGGTATTATAAAAATACTTCAAGATATTACAAAAAATTTTTCATGTCTAACAAAAAACTACTGTATATTACGGAAATACTACAAGATCCTTTAAAGTACCACAAGATATTACAAAAATACTTCAAGATATTTCGAAATACTTATAGATATTACAAAGTATTCTAAAATAATACGAAAATACATTAAGATTCTTCAAAGAACTTTATGATATTACAGAAATACTTCAAGATGGTTTTAATAATTTAAAAATTTTCTTTAGTACTTCAAGATATTACAATAAATCTTCAATGTCTTACAAAGTACTAAAAACTACTGTATATATTACTGAAATACCACAAGATATTACAAAAATACTTCCAAGATATTTCGAAATACTTTTAGATATTACAAAGTATTCTACAATATTACGGAAATACTTCAAATTTCTGCAAAGAACTTCAAGATATTACAGAAATTATTCATTATTTTTCAAAATAGTTCAAGTTCTTCGAAAAAACCTCAAGATCTTGAATAGTGTTATAAAAAATTCAATCCTGATTCAATTCAATAAAAATTCAATCTTTTAAAAAGTACTTTAAGATCTTTCCAACTACTCTAGTATTTTACAGAAATACTACAAAATCTTTCAAAGAACTTCAAGAAATTCCGACGTACTCAAAGATATTTCACACTACATCAGATATCAAACAAACAAAAAAACCATCGCAATCATCTATTTTTAATAAAAAAAATCCACATTTTCAACAAACTTCCGGCAAAAGTTGAGACGTAGTTCGGATGCATTTCATTGCGCTTGGTCGCGCGAATAAAGACATAAAATGAAACGGGCGTTCGTGAAGAGAGTGCATAATTGTCCGCCAAACCAACTGAGCGATGAAGCCAAGTCTATTGGGTCCACTAGCGTCGATGTGTGTGGTCTACAATACACCAGCCGCCAGGCCCAACTCACGCTAATAACACCCCCCACTCTCTTACATTCTCTTTTCCTGTCGTTTTCTTCCTCGACCTTCTATCTCTTTCTCTCTTCTTGTTCCTCTGACGGAAAGGGAAGAAAATAAAACAACAAAAAAAAAGAGAATCAAGAAAAAAAGAAGTCTCGAAAGATTCAGAATCGAGTCGGCAAATCTATGAATCTCTTTTCTTTCCTCTTTTCGTTTCTGTATATACATATATATACAAGTCCAGAGAAAGAGGAACGATGTCATCCAATTTTCTAATCTTCTTTTTACAATTTCAGTCGAAAAGCAAACGCATTCGCTTGTCGTCCTAGCAAATTTCTCACATTCTATCGCTTCATTATAAAGACTTGACCATCAACAAGACTCCTTCGCGATGCTTCTGGATACCAATGGCAGAGAGAGAACGAGTTTCTAAAATCCCAGTCGAATTACGATGTCGGCTTAGATCGTACGAACTCTATTCCCTGATGACGTCTAATTGCGACCACAATAAGAAAATAACGGTCTCTCTCTTCTTCCTCACTTTCGTAACTTTTACTTCCAACAGAAATACAAAGAGACAAGCAAAAAAATTCTCCCAAAGAATAATTTCTCTTACATAAAACGATTTTCACCCAAATTAATAACAACTCATCAAGAACCTATTCATAAACAGCTTCTTATAATAAATAGGCTCTCAACTATAAAGAGAATTTCTAAAAATACAAATGATAATAAATAAAAATAATTTGACCACACACAAATTATTTTCTTTTATAGTAAAATATCGTTTTAAAAATGTTTTGAAATACTTTAAAATCTTTGAAATACTTTGAAATACTTTGAAATACTTTTAAAAACATTTTAACAGAATTGCTGCTAATATATTGTATACAAGTTTTTTGTATATTAAGCCAAAGATGAAATATGACTTTTTAAAAGGCGTCAGCCAACTCAAGCGCGTTCGTTCACTCTCTTTATCGTTTGCCCAAGAATATTCATAAGCCCCAAAGTAATATTCGATTGTCCAGCGCTCTTAAACGCCAAAAATTTACGCTCGAGTTTACGAGGGACCCGCGTGCAACAAATATCTGAGTTGATGTTTGCGGTCAAGAAAAACGAAGAAAGAGAGAGAAAGAGAAGAATGAAGTGAGAGAGCGAGAGTTAAAAAAGAAGATAAAAGAAAACGAACCTAAAGGGAAGTAAATTCTTTCTGTTGCGATACATTCCGAAAACACTATTAAACCAAATGTAATTCAACCCAATTTTATTTTTTTCACTAAAAAGAAAAAAAAATCTCTATTTATTTATTTACTGTACTTTTTTTTGCAAAGTTACCACGAAAATATTTTCCCTTGAAATCAGGTAAATGTGAGTCACGCTGATTTCCAGGGAAAATTTTGACTTTTTCCCTGATCCCTA